TCTCGAAATTTATGGATCCATTAAATTTTGCTGTTTATACAGTCTTCAAAAAAGGACATCTTTTTCTCTGTTAGGAACCATCCTAATCAGTTGTTTACGTCCTTAAAACCTTCCAACGACCGTAGTGGGCGACTGACAGGATTTGCAGGACTTCGCCGTGCAGTACTGTACCAGTTGACCCCCGACTCGACAGTCTCAGATATCAGCCTTATTTCCAAATGAACTTGTCAGATAATTATATGTTCTCTTATCCTCGTGTCAACCAAAATGTCTATGGATGTGTCTGTAGGAATTATCGCGCCCACAGGCAAGTTAGAAATGTGACGTTTCTTTTGGTAACATCCACTTCAAAGGTACTTGCTACCTCACCAGGCATCCGAGCTTTAACATACTTGGTCTTGAATGGATCGAGAAACTCGGTCTTCCGAAAATGCTACTTAACAATGTTTGCAAAAGCGTGCAGTCATTTTGGCCGAATCCCGCCAAATGGAATCAGTTGGCTGCAAAGCTGATGTCAACTTTACAGAAGACATTTGATTCAGTTTTTCAAGACGACAATGGCTGCTGCAACAAAATAGTCATTCACCGACTTCAGCGAATGCAAAACCTGTCTTCGGACCAAAAATACCAGTTCCTTATGCTGAATTCCCCGTTGTCGACCAAGAACTTGAATGTCTTCAGCGAGACTGTGTTCTTCAATTAGTTATCTACTCTGCATGGGCCGCACCAATTGTGGCTGTCAATTTGTGCTTATTCTTCCACCGGTCTCAATGTTAGTTTGAACACGTATCAGTATCCACTGTGCGTGCCGGAAGATCTTTTACTGAGCTGAATAGTGAAATTTGTTTCGCTAAGTTTGATCTATCTGATGCATACCTCCAAAATCATGGGGGGTTGTTTCAATTCGCCCGTTTGCCATCCGGGATTAAGATGGCTCTCGCCATCATCCACCAGACCATGGACACCATGCTTACGGGCACCGAAAGAGCCGCTACCTAGCTGGATGACATTATCGTCACTAGTTTAACTTCAGCCAGATTCAGGAATATGGTTTCTGTCTGCGTCTGTAGAAGTAAAATTTTGTCATGCATTCTGCGAAATACCTCGGGTTTATTATCGAACAAGACGGTCGTCGTCCAGATCCCGAAAACATCGACGCCATCAAACAGATGCCTCCACCAAAGGACATACATATTTTCCGAGTTTTCTTGTGTCTAATGAGTCAATACAGCTCCCTGCTTCAGGGAATGCACCACTTTTGTCATCCAATTGAATGAACTGCTCAAGAAGGATGTTAAGTGGGACTGGTTGTGAGAACATGAACAAGCGGTTTAAGAAGCGAGAACAATGTGGAGTTCTGACTTGCTGCTCATTCACTTCAACCCTAATCTGAAGATTGTTGTTACGACAGACACCTCCAGTTATGGAATTAACGCCGTGGTTTCACACATTTATGCCAACAACTTGGAAAATACCATTTGCAATGGGGCAAAATCACTTATTTCTGCTTAAAGCAACTGTGAGCTGATTGTAAAGGAATCCCTGGCCATCAGTTTTGCCGAAAAAAAAATTCACAAGATACTTTATGGTTGTCATTTCACCCTTCTCACGTACCATAATCCTCTTTTAGCGGTTTTCAGCTCGAAAAAAGTTATTCCTGCTGGGCAGCCATGCTGCTGGACAACGACTTTGACATCCGGTATCTGTTTTCAAAAAACATAGGTCAAGTAGACGCACTCTCGAAATTAATCGATTCACTGACGATAGAACCCGAGGATGCAGTCATAATGTCCGTCTCCGTTGAGCCATTCCATTTGTGCACTCCCTGTGAGATTGTAAATTACCATACTAACAGCT